TTTTTGAGACGGAGTCTGGCTTTGTCACCCAGGCTGGAGTGCAGTGGCACAATCTTGGCTCACTGCAACCTCTGCCTCCCGGGTTCAAGCAATTCTGCCTCAGCCTCCCGAGTAGCTGGGATTACAGGTATGCGCCACCACACCTGGGTAATTTTTGTATTTTTAATACAAAAAAATTTTTGTATTTTTAGAGACGGGGTTTCACCATGTTGGCCAGGCTGGTCTTGAACTCCTGACCTCAGGTGATCCACCCACCTTAGCCTCCCAAAGTGCTGGGATTACAGGCGTGAGCCACTGTGCCTGGCCCATAAAATTGTTTTTAAACAGCATTGACTATGCTTTATTTGAGTTATTGGCCCAGTCCTTGGTCATTTTGTCCTTGTCCCTAGGCATGTGTTTCAGCTGTTTGTCTTCACTGATGGACTTCATTACCCAATGAAGTGGCCCAGCATGGCAAATATCAAGTAGGTCAGAAATTAGCGTCTTAGCCAGACCAAGACATCCACTCACTGCATAGCACCATGTTCATTTCAACAAGTTCAGCTCAGCAAACATTGGTGACCACCTGCAGTGAGCCAGGGACTGTTAGGAGCTCAAGAAAGAAGCATTGACAGTACATCCTGGGGGCCTGCCTTCTTTGAGGCTACACAGTCGAGCATTTTCTGAACACCGTTTCCTGTTTATTTCCTGAAATACATGCCCAGGCATTCTTCAGCCCATATCACGCCGTCAGCTGACTCCCGGTTTATCCAGGCTGTCACATGATCCCTTGCTACAATCACTGCTTCCTGAACACCCTCCATTCCGGCATTCTCTCCCCCTGTGGCACTTCCCTGTTTAAGACACCAGACCTGGGTGAGCCCTTCCATTTGCCCGTTACCTGCACCTGAAGAGCTGGATATTCCCAGAAGAAAGTTACAACTGAGCTGGCAGATTTCACTTTCTTGATGGTAAAGCTCAAATGGACACAATGTTACCAAAGGATCCTACTTTGAATCTCTAGTAGGCATGCTTTGCTCTTCCCTACATCAGTTCATTTCCACAGTCAGCCCTCTCACACTCCCTTTCTGCCTTAGGGATAATCCACTTAGGAAAGTGAAGCCATAAGACATAAACTCCCTCCTCCCTCCACCAACCAGACAAACCTACCTGAAGCCACACTTAAGCCAATCCCTACACCTAAGCCCCTGCAGCCCATCCCCCTGCATTTTTTTTTTTTCTTTAAGAGATAGGGTCTCGCTCTGTTGCCTAGACTGGAGTTCACGTGTGATATTGTGCTAGCCTAGAGCCAGAACCGGAGCAAAACTATTTTATAAGATGCAAAACTGTTTTTAGATAAACTGGCTGTCCCATTCTCCTCACAATAACTACTGTCCTTGGCCTCTGTAAATAGAACTGCCAGTTTGTTCCTCAAAACTGTGTAAAGCTGCTTACCTTTTCTTATCAGTAACTGCTAAAATCTGTGACTTCTATCACCACCCAGATGATGTGTAAACAAATGTATATCCTGACTTCTGTAAACCACTGAGGTAACAAACAGAATGACAAAAGTCCCCTAGCCCTTGGAATGTCCGGAGACCCCCGCCCTTGTCTCCACCCAGGAGGTAATTTACAGAATCCACTAGCCCTCGGAATGTCTGAAGCCTTTTCATCCCCATCGCCGCCCCTCACCCCCACTCCCAAGGTGGTTTTTCGGGTATAAAAAAATCGTGGCACCCTCCTGTTGCCATCACAGGTTGGAGAGACGTGAGTCCTCTGTGGTCGCCGGCATAAATAAATGACCCTGCAGTCTGGCATACTTTTGTCTTGTGGTAACTTTCTACGCTCCAGTCAAATACAACACATGATCACAACTCATTGAAACTTTGACCTTCCGGCCTCAAGCAATCCTCCCACCTCAGCCTCCCATGTAGCTGGGACTACCGGCATGTGCTACCACATCAGCTAATTTTTATTTTTTATTTTTGTGAAGAGATATGGGCTCCATATGTTGCCCAGGCTGGTCTTGAACTCCTGGGCTCAAGTGATCCTCCCACCTCTGCCTCTCAAAGTGTTGGGATTACAGAGTGTGAGCACCTGGCCACCCCCTGCATTTTCTCAGAGGTTTTGATATTTTGTTGATCCTTCTCCTAAATTGTCAGCCTTCTGTTCTGGACCATTAACAGCATACAACAGGCTCTAGTGTAACTCATCTTAAAGTATGTGTAGATATATGGAATCAATTAGTTCCTGCTACACTCCCCTCCGCGCACCCAACTTTGAAAAGTTAGTGTTCCTCAGAGCTGTTTTGAGCTTTTTCACATTCTCTCCATAGCTTGAAATCATGTGTATATGCTGATCCTTCCTCCCAAGTGTGTAGTTACAGGTCACGTTCTCCCCCAAACTCCAGGCTAAAAAAATTCATCTGCCTACTTACTGGACGGAGCTCAGGTATCTTACACCTGAAATCTATTATCATATTGCAAATAATATTCTAATTGCTGATACTCATCTCAAAACCTGTCACCTGTGCCCCAGGCGTCCTTATCTCCACCAGCAGTATTGTTACCGGGGATTCTGTGTTGGAATGGATTCTTTAATTGAGATCAACAGAGTTGGAGCTCTGGACCAGCAATCACAGTTCGTGTGATAGTGAGCAAGCTAACATCAAAATGCAACTTAAAGCGAGGTTTATTGCAACACAGTAATACACTCTGAGGGGGAGCAGGCTGATTTCTGGGAAGTGAAATCAGCACCTCTTTACAAAACTCAAGTTTTTTTTTACAGGGTTTGTGGGGAGGA